AGTTGCATCCTGGCCGGGAGGAAATAAAATCCCAAGCTATCATCACAGCATGTTAGGAGGAGGTGATGCAGAGCAGGGATGTGGGGAGTAGGACGGCAGGGAAGGTGGCTCTGAGGACTGGAGGTGGTGAGGGAGTCACAGGTTCAGCGGGAGGGGTCCTCGGCATGCCTGGGGAACGGCAGGGTATTGGAGGGAGGTGAGGTCAGGAAGGAGATGCTGAGTGGTCTAGGGCAGCAGCCCCTGTCGACCTTTGCAGGTAAAACAAGGACCTGGAGTAAAACGGGAAACCGCTGGAGGCTGAGCAGAGTGCAGAGGTGCCTTGGTTGCCCTGTGGAGAATAGACTGTGAAGAAGTTGAGAGACCTGGAAGGGGTTCTGTTGATCATCCAGTCAAGCAGTAACAGTGGAGTGCACCAGGATGATAGATGTTGATGGTGACATATGGTGGAGTTTGGGACTGTTGTAAAGACAGAGGCAAAATAATTTTCTGATGGGCTGCTATGCTCTGGGTGGGGGTAAGGGGACAAGTCGGGGGTGAAGGGGCAGGGAGTTTGGTTTGGGTGGTGTTCCATTTGGGGTTGTCTGTTACAAAGACGGACAGACGTGCCAGGTTGCCAGTCGTAGCCTGAGTGAGAGCTGCAGATTTGGGACCCATTCGCATGTAGACGGTAAGGCAGGAGTTGGAGGAGACCCCCCCCCAACCTTATGGCTGGATGGGGCAGCAAGTGATGACCTCCAATATTTACTGGAAGGAAGATTAAACAGCAGAGGAGACCCCCATGAGAGGCAAGTGAGTTGAGAACCCAACCAAGAGAAGTGGAGTCCAAAAGGACAGTGAGGAGAGACTTCCAGAGGGAGAGGCCAGAGGGCTGCATCAGAGGAGCCAAAGGCCACGATGGCCTTGGACCTGGATGGGAACCACCTCAGGGGGTACAGGAGAAGGTTTCCTGGAGTGATTTTAGAAGAGGAAGCAGGCACAGAGATTATAAACAGTGCTTCTGAGAAGTCCACTGCAGAGAGGAGTGGAGAATTGGGACCGTACATGACATCAAAAGTGGGGTGGAAGACAGTGGTGTGGAAAGAGAGATCCACTTTTTTTTTAATGGGGGAAATGACAGGATTGTATGTATGTTAATGGGGAAAATTCTACAAAATGGGACAACTGGAGATCCAAAAGGCAGCCCCGAGGTAGTACCACCATCTCACCCCGAGCTCTCCAATACCAAAGCTGCAGAGCTTTGAAGATTCTATGCCCACTTCGCCACGTCTAAGAAACGTGCCAATGGGAACAGGAGGAGCGCTGGAGTCCTGCAGAGACACAAGCTTCCCTCCTGGAGCGAAAGTCTTTTTGCATTTCTCCACCTGGGGACCACAGAGCAGCGGTCCTCAGAGACCAGGCCCACGCTGAGTCCAGCCTCTTTGCCTTTCCACCAGGGGAAAATTTCACAATTTCAGGGGAAAAAAATCATCCTCAGGCAGATTTAGGTAAAGGTTCCACATCTCAATCCTAAGGGCAAGGACCTGGACTGTGTTTCAACTCCCAGTGCATCTCCAGCAGCTCCCAGCGTGGTTGGTTCAGAGCAGAAGCTCAATGATATTTGTGGAATGGATTCCAAGACGACTCCTCCTCCTCCTCCTCCCCCTCTTTCTCTTCCTCATCCTCCTTCTTTTCGGTGCTGGGGATGGAATCAGGACTCTGTCACGTTAGGCAAGTGCTCCACCACTGAACTACAGCCCCAGCCCCAGCCTCCAAGACTCACTTTAAAAACACATTTTCCTCAAGTAAACCTTGGTTTGGACAAACACATTCAAAATAGTCCATACTTCCACTGCACACAAGCCTGGCGTAGTGGTGCATGCCTGTAATCCCAGTGTCTCCGGAGGCTGAGATAGGAGGATCTGTAGTTAAAAGCCAGCCTCAGCAAAAGCATGGTGCTAAGCAACTCAATGAGACCCTATCTCTAAATAAAGTACAAAATAGGGCTGGGGGTGTGGCTCAGTGGCCCATTGCCCCTGAGTTGAATCCCAGGTACCACGCCCCCACAAAAAAAAAAAAAAAAAGAAAGAAAGAAAAAGCAAAGCGCGTGCGCACACACACGCACACAGACACACACGCGCGCGCACACACACACACACATAATAGCATGGAAACAGAGTTGTGGAAATATCTGAATAAGACTAAAGATTGGAAAATAAGTGAAGTCAAACTGCACCTGGAATATGGAGAGGGTGTTGAAAAGGGATTTTCATTTTTCAGTCTGTGACAAAGCCGGCTTCTGGTTTTTCCTGGAGCCAGGATGAGATGTTTCTGTGGTGTCCACTTCAGTGAGAGTTTCCAGTGTGAGACAAAGGAGCAGAGTGACCAGGACCCTCTCCTGAAGTTCAAGGGCTGAAAAAGACGTTTTAATCTTAAGCAGGGAATCAAGACAATGTGAAAGTCTGAATTTTCCCAAAATATTGATCATGGAAATATGGGATGGTCCTGCCTTCCTCTGAGAATACTGGACATTGAAGGCAGAGAGTTCAACTGGTTGGATCACTGCAGAGCCCAGAAGAGGGAAAATACTCCCTTTAGAGGAACCTTGTGTCATACAATCTTTGTCCATGAGGTGGCGATGTTGCACCACAAAAGAAAACTCCTTTTTGTGGCTCTGAAACCCCAAGAATAGCTCTCTTTGAAAAAGAGGTTATCCATCCCCATTTCACCCCACCACTATTTTTTTTCCACAAAGCTAGGTGGCTACATCCCTCACCTGCTAACCTTGCGATTTAGGCAGGCTTTCTTCCCGTGTTTACATGGTACAGCGTTTCTTGAATACAGCTGTTGGCAAAGTGTGGGTTCTGACCATTTTCTCAACGTCTCTTCTGTGGCTTCTTAGTTCATGAGGCGAATCCTGTCTGCTGACTCTCTAAAAATGATTCTGAAGTGCTGGAGCTTTGCTGTGGTGTGTAGAGCCCTAGGCGTCTCTGCACCTCGGGGTGCTTAGTCTAGGTGACCCACTGAGGTCATAAAGCATTGCCTTTTGAGTAGAGGCCTCCACAAGGAACTAAGAGGGCAGGCCCACCCCACAATCACAGATCTTTATTACACATGACACAAATTTATCATCTTAGGTGGGTTTTTTTTTTTTTTTTTGGGGAACTGGAGATTGAACCCAGGGATGCTTTACCACTGAACCACATCCCCAGCCCTATTTATTTATTTATTTATTTATTGTGACCAGGGTCTTTTAAGTTGCTAAGGGTCTTGCTAAATTGCTGAGGCTGGCCTTGAACTTGGGATCCTTCAGCCTCAGCCTCCTGAGTCACTGAAATGACAGGCATGCACCACCCCACCTGGCTCATCTTAACTGTTTTTTAAATGTATAGTTTGGTGAGATGTGCATATTCACCTTGTGGGACCATCACCACCATTCATCTCTAGAAGGTTTTCATCTTCTCAAACTGACACTATACTCATTAAGCAACCACTCCCTATTTCCCTTCCTTCAGCCTCTGGCAACTCCCATTTTACTTTCTGCCTCATGGAGTTTGGCTACTGGAGGGACCTCATAAAAATAAAATCATACAGTATTTGTTGTCTTTTTGAAACTGAATTGTTTCATTTAATATAATGTCTTCAAGTTTCACCCATATATCATATGCTAGAATTATCTTCCTTTTTAAGGCTGAATGATATTCCACTGTGCGGTATGGAGATTCCTCAGAAATCTTGGAATGGAACCACCATTTGACCCAGTTATCCCACTCCTTGGCTTATACCCAAAGGACTTAAAATCAACATACTGTGGTGCTGTGGCCACATCAATATTTATAGCAGTTCAATTAACAATAACTAAGTTATGGAACCAACTTAGGTGGCTCTGAAATAAGAGAATGGATTAAAAAAAACCTGTGGAATATATACACAATGGAATACTACTCAGCACTAAAAGTGAATAAAATTATGGCATTTGCAGGTAAAAGAATGGAGTTGGAGTATATCATGCCAAGTAAAATAAGCCAGTCTAAAAACACCAAAGGCTAAATATTCTCTCTGATATGAGGATGCCAACTCACAATAGTTGGATGAGGAGGGAGGAGTTTGGGACAGGGAGGATGGGGGGAAGTTTGGGGGTGTGGGAATGAACTGGACATAACTTTCCTATATTCATATATGAATATATGACTAGTGTAATTTCACATCATGTACAACCACAAGAATGGGAAGTGATACTCCATGTATGCATGATATGTCAAAATATAGCCTACTGTCATGTATAACTAAAAAGAACAAATAAAAAAGATTTTTAAAATATTCCACTGTATGGAATATGTTTTGTTTGTCCATTCATCTATTGATGGAAGCTGGGTTGCTTCCACCCCTTGTTGTAAATAAAGCTGCTATGAATATGAATGCACACATATTTGAGTCCTTGTCGTCAGTCCCTTTGTGTACATGTTCAGAGTGGAATTGTTGAATCATAAGGTTATTCTATGCTTAATCTTTTGAGTGATCATCAAGCTGTTTTGCACAGTGGCTGTACCATTTTATATTTTTAGTTGCAGTGCATCAGGGATCCAGGGTGAGGTATGTGGAAAAAATAACTTTAGAATATTCTCAGCAAAGTGGTGTGGTGAGGGTTGTAGCTCCAGGTTTTCAGATGAGAAGGACGAAGTCCAGAGAGACTGGTACCCACAGCCTCACAGCTAAAGAGAGCAGAGTGGGGTTTTGAATTCAGGGCTGGCTACTCCAAGGTCCTCTACCTAGTGTTTGTAGGATGATGTTAACCTGCAGACATTGATCTCAAACTTTCATTTCTTAATTTTCACTAAGAGCCAATAACGAGTCACAGAAGGTTGGCACAGGTAAGACCCATCTATATCATATAATATTTAATATATACTCTGAACTTTTATTTGCATACACACACACACATAAACCCTATTGTAAGAAGTCTATGAACTTTTATGCAAGTTTTATTTGCAAACACACACACACACACACACACACACACACACACACACACACTGTTGTAAGAATTCTATGAGGGATAGCCGGGAGCAGTGGTGCACACCTGTAATCCCAGTGGCCCGAGAAGTTGAGGCAAAAGGATCATGAGTTCTAAGCCAGCCGCAGCAAAAGTGAGGTACTAAGCAACTTAGTGAGACCCTGTCTCTAAATAAAATTCAAAATAGGGCTGAGGATGTGGCTCAGTGGTCAAGTGTCCCTGAGTTCAATCTCTGGTACCCCTGTCCCCCCCCCCCCCAAAAAAAAAAAAAAGAATTCTATGAGGGGAAATTTTGCATTTCTCAAAAAAATTATTTTTGTGCTGTGATAAACTGTGGAGTCTGCTAGTTGTTCATTTTAAGATTCATGACATCCCCCTCAACCTGAATCACTGAGAGTCGAGGGTGAATATTGCCTTGGAGATGCTAGACTTGGCTCTCCATTCTATGCATCTGTCCAAGGCCAAGCCACTAATTCTCAGAGGATTCTGCCTGCTGGCATCTGATTCTTTGGGTATGAGTACCCAGAGACAACATAACGTGACACAATATTTAGAAGTAAGACCCTTGTGGGCTTCGACTCTGCTTGTTTTGTCCATAAGAACAGAGACTTGCGTGGGTTTTAAAAGACCCAAGTTAAAATCTGTCATTTTAAAGTAAGTCTTCTGTCTGTGCAAAATATATACAAGATGCTGCAGTGAACTGTGGGCAGTTACACCTTAGTTAACAGGAATATTGCTATTTGGGTAAATAGCCCTGGCTCCCAGTTTCTAAGTATTTCTTACAATCTATAAATGATGCATGAAGGAGAAAGGTGTATTTGCACCTAATAGGCTCACCTGGCACCTGGAATGTTTGAGCTGATTTTCCCTCCAAAGTCTACAGGGACTTTTCCTAAATGCACGAAGAGCTTGGAATTCTGGCCCATCTTTCATCAGCTGTGCAATTTTAGATTTGCCTCCGTCCTCTAAACTATGGTTCAAAAGATGTCCCATGGGAACTGCAGGAGTGAAGAGTGTGATGCGTTTGGCCATAGAATGTGCTTCCACTCCTCCCTAGAAGACTGGTGGCATTATTTTCCCAAGGCAATGGCCATAAGCAGTAGGGTATTCCAGAAATATTTTGGCGAGGTTGTCCGTGTTCTCCAGGCAGAGCTGGATTTGGGAACCAATTCACTAATTCATTCACACTTGAAGTGCATTATCAGGTGGAAAGGAAAAGTACCAATTCTCTTGTTTCCTTAACCTTAGTGGTTCCCGGAAGGATCCCTCTTGGAGCACTGTGGATTCTGAGAGGAAGAACCACAGTTGGAAGCATATCCAGTACCAGTGGCCTTAGGGACAGCCTTTCCAGTGGGTGGTCCAGGCCCAGAGGGGTAACTGGGACAAGGCTGGGCCTGTGGTGGCCTGAGGCATTTCCTGTCCCTGTTCCGTAAGCAGTGAATCCATTTTGGGGTAGATTGCATGCAACAGATGACAATTGGTTTACATACCGAGATTTAGTTAAACCAGGCCACTTGTCACTTCACTGAGGTCATCTCTAGCAGATATTTGTAAAAACTGGTATACGTGATTTGAGTCAGTTTTTCCACAGATTGCTTTTGGAGGCATTTAAAAGACCAAGGGGCTGAGTGTCTAGCTCAGTGGTTGAGCCTTGGAAGTGGTCAGACTCTAAGCAGACTAGTTCTCAACCACTCTTCTTTAATGCCTTTAAATGAACACTAAATTAAAATTCTACCCTCTCATAATTTGGACCCATATCTATCTAAATTTAATCCAGCCACTAGATGGCAGTCAAGACACCAGGTCTGTTTCCTCCCTGCAGGCTGCTGCGGGCTGCCCTGAAGTCCAGCTGGGTAGCTGGAAGAGGCTGTCCAGAAACCACACAGGCCTGTGTCTGTCTTACCCGTGAGGATTCCCCCAGACTTCCAACACAAACATTCAGAATCACTTCCGTGGCACAACTTGGGCCACCGCACTCAGGGGAAAAATATCAAAATGCGAGATGTCAAAACCTCAAAAGAAAAGAGTGGTTTTGAAAAACAACAGTTTTTCAAGGAGCCCAGGCGGGAAGAGGGTCTTTGATCCACTAAAGGCTGGGGGTGGGGGTGGGGTGTGTGGGAAGTTTCCTGAGCAAAATTTGCTAGGAGAAGGTCCGTGGCGATCCTTGATGTCTAAGGCAGAGAGATAACTGAACTTTCTGGTCATATTGCCACATGTGAACTGTCCCCAGGAGATGGCAGCTATGCTTGAAGGTTCTGGAACAGTCTTTCCACAACTTCCACGCAGCAACTCTGTGAACGACACCCGGCAGCTCCTGTTATAGATTGGTCACGTGTCCACGGTGTTTTGCAACCTCTTCTGCCCCCTGAATATGGGCTGGCCTCCTAACTTGCTCTGACTGGTGGATTGTGGCATGAGTGATGCTGTGTCAGTATCAAAGCCTGGGCCCCTGGGGGCATGGTTCTGCCATCCCTACCCTCTAGGCAGCAGCCCCTCGAAGACAGCAGAGTAATGGGAAAAGAATGATGCTTGGCAAGAGCCACCAGGCCCATCACTGAGACCCACCCCTTCAGACCCTCCCTGGTAGGAAACTTCCATCTGACTGAAACCCAACTGTGAGAAAGAATTGTCTGTCCTCCCCATGCTCGGATGCAACCAACCTTGGATCAAAACTATTTCAAAAATATTGCATCTGTCCTGAACACATACAGACATTTTTCTTGTCATTAGGCCCTAAACAATTCAGTGTAACAACTCTTGACACAGCCCTTACCATCGTATTAGTATTAGTCATCTAGAGATGATGTAAAGTTAAAGTACACGGCCAGATGTGTGTGGGCTCTACGCAAATATGATGCCCCCCCCCTTTTTCCTATGAAGAACTTGAGAATCTGGGGATTTGGATATTGACAGGGGATTCTGGAACCAATCCCCATGGGTATGGGGGAATCATTGAATTGTGGTTGCAAACCACCTGGTTTTGATGTGGTTTGTTT